GACCACATGATGACAAGTCAAGTGTACTGTCATCTCGGCCGACTGGCCATAGTTGAAGGATTTGTTCGGCTGGAATAGTTCCTTCTCCACATTGTGGCTTCATATACGTCAGGCTGCGAGCAGCTGAGTCCAACTGCCTGGTTGACCAGACCTGGCCTAGAGACCGGGCCTGCGGGGACCATGATCCTCGGAATCAACAACAGGCAGGTATAGACCCACCTAACCCCTCTTATGTTAAAACAGCCAGGTGGTAATTCTGCTCCTTTCTACTACTACATGTTATTGGTCCAGGAATCAAGTAGTTTTACTAGCCAGGTCAGGGACCGGGCCCCGGGAACGTTGATCCTCGCAAGCATCACAAGGTAGGCAAGATGACTCCGGCCAATAATCTGGCTCCTCTGGTCCTAAGAGGAGACTTAGCACCTCTCTCCTCTTGTGTGACCTTCCTCTGCTTGACTGTGAGTCCTTCCTCTGCTTGACTGTGTGTCCTTCCTCTGCTTGACTGTGTGTTCTTCCTCTGCTTGACTGTGTGACCTTCCTCTGCTTGACTGTGTGTCCTTCCTCTCCTTGACTGTGTGTCCTTCCTCTGCTTGACTGTGTGTCCTTCCTCTGCTTGACTGTGTGTTCTTCCTCTGCTTGACTGTGTGACCTTCCTCTGCTTGACTGTGTGACCTTCCTCTGCTTGACTGTGTGTCCTTCCTCTGCTTGACTGTGTGTCCTTCCTCTGCTTGACTGTGTGTCCTTCCTCTGCTTGACTGTGAGTCCTTCCTCTGCTTGACTGTGTGTCCTTCCTCTGCTTGACTGTGTGTCCTTCCTCTGCTTGACTGTGTGACCTTCCTCTGCTTGACTGTGAGTCCTTCCTCTGCTTGACTGTGTGTCCTTCCTCTGCTTGACTGTGTGTCCTTCCTCTGCTTGACTGTGTGTTCTTCCTCTGCTTGACTGTGTGACCTTCCTCTGCTTGACTGTGTGTCCTTCCTCTGCTTGACTGTGTGTTCTTCCTCTGCTTGACTGTGTGACCTTCCTCTGCTTGACTGTGTGTCCTTCCTCTCCTTGACTGTGTGACCTTCCTCTGCTTGACTGTGAGTCCTTCCTCTGCTTGACTGTGAGTCCTTCCTCTGCTTGACTGTGTGACCTTCCTCTGCTTGACTGTGTGTCCTTCCTCTGCTTGACTGTGTGACCTTCCTCTGCTTGACTGTGAGTCCTTCCTCTGCTTGACTGTGTGACCTTCCTCTGCTTGACTGTGTGTCCTTCCTCTGCTTGACTGTGTGACCTTCCTCTGCTTGACTGTGTGACCTTCCTCTGCTTGACTGTGAGTCCTTCCTCTGCTTGACTGTGTGACCTTCCTCTGCTTGACTGTGTGTCCTTCCTCTGCTTGACTGTGTGACCTTCCTCTGCTTGACTGTGTGACCTTCCTCTGCTTGACTGTGTGTCCTTCCTCTGCTTGACTGTGTGACCTTCCTCTGCTTGACTGTGTGACCTTCCTCTGCTTGACTGTGTGACCTTCCTCTGCTTGACTGTGTGACCTTCCTCTGCTTGACTGTGTGACCTGCCTCTGCTTGACTGTGTGACCTTCCTCTGCTTGACTGTGTGACCTTCCTCTGCTTGACTGTGTGACCTTCCTCTGCTTGACTGTGTGACCTTCCTCTGCTTGACTGTGAGTCCTTCCTCTGCTTGACTGTGTGACCTTCCTCTGCTTGACTGAGTGTACCGTCTTCACTTGACGGACGCAACTACTGGTTACAATGTAGGGTAATTATACAACCCCTGTTCTCGTTATAGCACGTCGCGTTTTGACGTATATCTTTCCTACGGCCAAAATGCTGATGTACAAGAGAAAGGGCTAGCAAAATTGACATCATAATGTCCCGTTTTCTGTTCGAGGGTCATTTGACTGGTTAGGATAGAGCACGTTAGTTCGGCAGTTTCTTCACGTTGGAATCGCTCGCGAGAACTGGCTGAATTATAAAGAGAAAGTGCTAAACCAGTATGAATATTCCTGATAAGGGATATGATGATAAGCAACGGGAATATGAGGACAATGAGCCGGGACTCTTGCTTGGAGAGTTCCGCTGGAATCCGGTTTCAAAGGTTCTTTGACCAGACGTAGCGAATTCTAGGTGTCCCCAGAGATGTACTTCAGGAGATGCAAGACGTCGAAATAACAGTTCTGCACGAATGGGGGTTATTGAAATCGAAGCGTTCTCCTTGTGGAGAAACAATAATCCTACAAATGACACATTTTTAAGTGGGGAAAATCCCCAGTCTAAATCACACAAGGATTACCACCGAGATTAAACTTTGAGGAAGTTGCTGAACACATTGGGCCATAACCTTACCGGGGCGCCTGACAGCTGGGTGGACAGGGCTTTGGATTCGTAGTCCTGAGGTTCCGGGTTCGATTCCCGGTGGAGGCGGAGATAAATGGGCAAAATGTTTCTTTCATCCTGAAAGCCCCTGTTACCTAGCAGTAAGTAGGTACATGGGAGTTAGACAGCTGCTACGGGCTGCTTCCTGGGGGTGGAGGCCTGGTCGAGGACCGGGCCGCGGGGACACTAAAAAAAGCCCCGAAATCAACTCAAGATAACCTCCCCAGAAGGCAACCCTCACACAGTTGCCTAACTCCCCGGGTACCTATTTAATGCTAGGTAAACAGAGGCATTAGGTGAAAGGAAGTGGCTAACCATTTCTGTCCCGCCCGGAAATCGAACCCAGGATCCCAGATTGTGAGTTGAGAACGAAACCAACCGTATTTCCCAAGGGACGAGAGACTATAATACTCCCTAAGATATCTTAATTTGTCTTGGGAAATGAATATATTTTAATTAATAATTAAGATGAACTATAATGCTCCCTAAGATATCTCAATTTGTCTTGCGAAATGAATATATTGACAAGGTTCATGTTTCGTTATTTTTCCTCTGTCATGAAAACTGCTTTCATGTCTGTGCAAACATTTCACGAACTATGTTGATGAATTCAGCGTGTCTGGGGCTACAGTTCCGCCCTAAAACAAGCTGAATTAATCAACTTAGTTGTTAAAAAGTGAACATGAAAATGCAAGCACAGTTTTCCATACAGAAAAACGTCAACCAAATCAAATAAATCTTTAAATTTCCCCAAACAATTTAAAAATAACAAATAAAGAGCAGATAATGCCATAATAACGTGGTTCAACAACATTTTATATTGTGAAAAAAAAACTGAGCCATTTAGAGATAAATCTAATCTCACGCTACATGAAATGGCAAACCATTTGATTACCAGTGATAAAATACTTGAAATCCTTGCCCTGTACCCATGATTCGCTTCTAGTAGATAAATGACACATGTATTATTGTATAAGTTGTGTAGCGTGTGGAACTGTAGCTTAAGAATATAGAGTTGTAGACTAAGAATCATAAACACCAACTCTTTCATTATCCTCTAAGATCCAATATTAAAAACGAAGAGACTTACCTCCAATGTATTATAATATTTTGCAAATACAAAGATGTTGCAATGCTTAAGTTTGAACAAGCTGTTATGATAATTACAAGGTGTGAAGATTAGATGTAATTGTTAATGTAGAAGTTCCTGCTGAGGTCTGATCAAGGCCTTTTGTGTTCTCTGTAATTCTTTTGGTGCTACCACTCACAGGATGAGTATGGGGTGCACAATAAACTACCACTCACAGGATAGGTATGGGGTGCACAATAAACTACCACTCACAGGATAGGTATGGGGTGCACAATAAACTACCACTCACAGGATGAGTATGGGGTGCACAATAAACTACCACTCACAGGATAAGTATGGGGTGCACAATAAACTACCACTCACAGGAAGAGTATGGGGTGCACAATAAACTACCACTCACAGGATAAGTATGGGGTGCACAATAAACTACCACTCACAGGAAGAGTATGGGGTGCACAATAAACTACCACTCACAGGATGAGTATAGGGTGCACAATAAACTACCACTCACAGGATAAGTATGGGGTGCACAATAAACTACCACTCACAGGATAAGTATGGGGGTCACAATAAACTACCACTCACAGGATAAGTATGGGGTGCACAATAAACTACCACTCACAGGATAAGTATGGGGGTCACAATAAACTACCACTCACAGGATAAGTATGGGGGTCACAATAAACTACCACTCACATGATAAGTATGGGGTGCACAATAAACTACCACTCACAGGATAAGTATGGGGGTCACAATAAACTACCACTCACAGGATAAGTATGAGGTGCACAATAAACTACCACTCACAGGATGAGTATGGGGTGCACAATAAACTACCACTCACAGGATGAGTATGGGGTGCACAATAAACTACCACTCACAGGAAGAGTATGGGGTGCACAATAAACTACCACTCACAGGATGAGTATGGGGTGCACAATAAACTACCACTCACAGGAAGAGTATGGGGTGCACAATAAACTACCACTCACAGGATGAGTATGGGGTGCACAATAAACTACCACTCACAGGATGAGTATGGGGTGCACAATAAACTACCACTCACAGGAAGAGTATGGGGTGCACAATAAACTACCACTCACAGGATGAGTATGGGGTGCACAATAAACTACCACTCACAGGATAGGTATGGGGTGCACAATAAACTACCACTCACAGGAAGAGTATGGGGTGCACAATAAACTACCACTCACAGGATGAGTATGGGGTGCACAATAAACTACCACTCACAGGATAGGTATGGGGTGCACAATAAACTACCACTCACAGGATAGGTATGGGGTGCACAATAAACTACCACCCCCTACGGCAACAATAAAAAAAACATCAACTTGGCTAAAATGATCAAAGCTATTCAACACATGAAAGAAGAATGACAATGTTGAGACTTGCTGCGGCCCAAGACGGGCCGCAGCAAATACAACAAAAATATACATATATATAGATTTCCCTCACTTGAAAATATTAACCCAGACTACATAACACATTAATAAATTCAAATCCAGTTGGGTGAAGTGACTGACCTGAAACTCGAACTTGGGGAACTGGTCGACGGTGTTGACGTCGGTCTTGGGGGCAGCGATGGCCTGACACTGCTGCGAGGGGACCAGCTGCCCTTGGCCGTCCTCCACCACCTCGCTCTGTCTCTCCGCCCTTCGCTCTCCTGCCCTCATGGCCTCCTGCGGCTTGTCCTTCAGCAGGTGCGGGTTAGGCGTGCCGGAGGAGTAGTAGTAGGCGTACACCAGGGCGCATGCGGCTAGCAGGCCCAAGAACGAGAGCCGCAGCCACCCGCGGCGAGGCACCATTTTCACCATTGCGGCTACCGCCTCTTTGCTTCCTTCACCGTAACGAGATATCTTTCAGATTAATAATAAGTGTTGATTTGAATTAACCTTCGACACTTCACTAGTGATGCAAGCGCATTAGAATCTTCGGTATATTGGTCACTGTAGGGATAGTGTAAACTCTCAGTCTTTGTGATAGTGCCACGAACACTAGAGTGCCTGGCACAGGCAGCTAAATAACTGACAATTATAGTGTAATGTGGCGGTTGTCACGGGTGCAGTCTTGGCACTGGACGAGCCATTTCCTTCAAAATCACCTAAGTTCCGGAGGATATCAATGACGTATATAAAAATCTATAATACTTGTATTAACAGGTAGAATACTGTCCGGAGATTTAACTGCCGTGTTGAATAGAGGAAGGGTGATTCCTGCCAGCTAGTTCATATATGATAACCGGTAATTCCCTCTTCAAATCAACGCGAGCGAGTGGGGAACCAGTGTGGCCACGTTTCGTAATTTCGTTAAAAACGACTGGCGATCAGCTCTATGTACACCAGTATTAGGGGCGATTACCTCATTTAACGGACTAACATAGTCCAGATGGCATTCATTATTTTTAGACTAAACTCGATCCTCATCCTAAGACCAAACTGGAGCCTAATTTGGTGGTGTTGGAACACAAGTGGGTCAGCGGGACATTGGTTGCAGCGGTTCAACGGCCGTGTGTTGACTGACAATGTACAGCGTCACCGTCCAGTTGCAGGGAGAACACAGCAGCTGCAAGGAGAACACAACAGCCCCCAGCACCCTTAGTGGCCTGCACGATGAACTTGTCCTTTTCCAAAAGATGAAATTTTTTCTAGCTTTTTTCTTTTACCCGCACTTGATGTTCTTAGAGTCTTCTAGTCGCTCCTTGATACATTTGATTTTGGTGTTAATCTTGAGCCCCACAACTCTGGAGAGGCATAAAACAATGAGAAGGAGGGCGCCGTAAACCTCCCGTCCTCTCTCTTTGGAGAATCTGCGCATAAATCGCGGTCTAACTGTCATTCCTCGTGACTAAGCACCAATTTCCATAATAATTCTTTGCGCCGTCTATCAAAGGACGTCCGGGTTTCCTGAAAATTTGTGTTGCCTAACGAATGGCTTTAGACGGTTGAATTCCTGTTTTGTCTAGACCTTTTTAGACAGAAAACGTTCATTTTTGTGTATAACAAACAACTAGGTTTCTGTAGATTGAATTAGATATTTGATATATAGTCTTGGTTTCTTCTTGGATATTCGGTTTCGATATCACAGATAATGGCTAGTTTCTAACGCAAACCTCACAGATCACATCTCACTATACATTACCAAGCACAAACTTTAAACAGTTAACAAGAATTTACTATAGAATATATTACGAAATACTGATGTATGCATAAAAACAAATTTAAAGCCAGATTTTCTTCAATTTATATCCAACTAACACCGACCACACGCGAGCCACACAATGTCAAGCAACAGTGATATAATAATAGGCAATATATTGAGCTACGGATTCTATCACTGCTTCACTGACGTCTCGTATGACGTCACATGGCTGTGTCAGCTCTTTCATCAAGGGTCAAGGGTTATAATGATCTCTGTTGTGAGTACACCTAAGGGTTAATACTGCCTGCCTCGCTCATCACAGACGGGTGGTGGGGACCCCAGAGAGCTTCAGGGCTGGCCTCCAGCGGCCTCAATGCTCCTCAGGAATACGGTGGTGGGGGCCCCAGAAAGTCTCAGGGCTGGCCTCCAGCGGCATCAATGCTCCTCAGGCATACAATGGTAGTGTGAAGGAGAGGTCCGAGCAGTAGAGGCGTCCCTACCCGCTGTACCAGCAAGAGGGGGGAGATCACAGACACAACTGATACTACTCTGTTCTCCCCCACACCATCGATTTTCCTTATAGACGGATTCGCCGTCTGTCTGGGATGCTGTACCCTGCAGATCGCCTCACTGCTCTCGGCTCAACACACCACCACCATAAAGAGTCCCCTTCCTCGCACATCCGGAGCGCCAAAGGTGGGAAACAAATCAGAGGGGGAGTAAAGGGTGTGTTCCGACGCTGCGAGGCTCAGGTCGTAATCTCATCACCTACACCTCTGATGCGTTCCCCCTCGCACTTCACTCCTGGGACGCCCGTCCTGCAAAGGAAGGAAAATAACATTAGGACTCGTCAAAATAAAACTTTTAAAGCCGTGTCCACATGAAGGTAAAACATTGCTCTTGTGTTGGAACTTTGGTAGCTGAAGATTGATGGTCAAAAAGATTTTTAGTGGCGGTTCAGTTCCTGCAGATTTTACGCGATGTATATAACTCACGCTGCGAAGAAATGTATATAGGTGACCAGTTGCGTGTATTCATACATATGTATACATATGCATGTGTGCATACATATACATATGTAGACACACGAGTGGGCTAATGCATGCATGCATAAATTATGGCCAGCCTAATGAATGAAAGCAACTCGAGGTTTCCTGATTGACAGATAAATGCAACAAAAGGTTTCCTGATTGGTTAGACATGTTCAAAGGTCTTGCGCTGAACTCGTTCGAAAATGAATTGAAGTAAATGGATGTCATTTTGAACATGAATTGTAACTGATAAACTAATAATTCCTAAATTATACTTACAAAAAATCCTAGCAGTTTCCTTTAATACTCTGCCTACGGGTCCAGACGTTTGGGACACCCTGTATATCATGTATATTTACTTCTGTATTTCAAATGGCAGAATAAGAGTGGCTAAGGAACATCAACATGTGGGAAGGACAAGGAAGTGGCAAAGAGCCAAAACGTTCTATACACAGATCAATAATTCAACCTTAGGTCCATGAAAAGAGGAATAACAAGTGAGATATGATCACCGCATACAAGATAATAAGGTAATATGCAAGTCACCAAGATGTTAGACAGTTTTCTTTTAGCATAAGAGTACTGGGAAAATGAAATTAGCTACAGGAGCAGGTTGAGGAAGCATCCTCCATTCATAATTTTAAAAGAAGATACGATACGGAAAGACATTTAGGAGTCATTGCATTAGACAACCGACGGTTAAAGAGTTATCTTGAGAGAACCGGGTCAAAGAGCTAATTCTCGATCCCGAGGCACAAGTAGGCGAGTACAAATAGATAAGTACGCACCTTAGTTGCTGGACATGAAAAGCTCCAAAACTTTCTCCATAATCAACTGTTATAAACGCCCATTTCCTGATGTAAACCTTCTCTCCCTCCCTCTTTCCCTCCCCATTTCCCTTCTTTACCCTTCCCTCTCTCCCTTCTGTCTTTCACCTCCCCCCCCACCCCAACCGTGCTCCCTACCGCTCTTCACTCTCGGAGGTTTCACTCTGGTAAGTTCACTTTACTATCTTAACAAAGCAGCCAATTACGAGCTATCTTGAAGAGGGTAGCCAACAGGAGGCTATCCCGCTATCTTAACGACACCAGCTAATTAGGGACTATCCTAACGAGGCCAGGGTTGAAGGGGGGGGGGGACAATAATCCACCTGAGGCAACTCTTCCACCCAGAGCCAGGATTCATCAAGCATTTATGCAACCACTTACGAAACCTATTCATCTTTCCTTAATTATTTTGGCTTTTTTTATATTTACAAAATATTTTGCGAGTTTTACCAGAGAGAGAAAGAGTGAGAGAGAGAGAGAGAGAGAGAGAGAGAGAGAGAGAGAGAGAGAGAGAGAGAGAGAGAGAGAGAGAGAGAGAGAGAGAGAGAGAGAGAGAGAGAGAGAGAGAGACAGAGAGAGTCAGAGAGAGAGAGAGAGACAGAGAGAGAGAGACAACCAAAGTGTTTACTGTGGAAGGAGTGATCACTTATGCATGCACAACTTCCTATCATCAATTCATGAGGTGTCAAGAGATGAATGTACTCTCTCTCCTCTTGACAGAATATATTAATTATGAACAAACGACAGTGACGGCCACATTACTCACACCTCACCATAGTCCCTCACAATCCTTAAGGCAAAACATTTAACCTAATTTGTCTTCTCAAACACCATGTGCCATACACCAGCCTGTTCTTAGTAAAAAAACACCCAACTGTTTGGTATTACCAGACGTACACAGGGGCTGGGTGGCCGAATGGACAGCGCTCTAGACTCGTGGACCTAGTGACCGGGTTCGATCCCCGATCCCTAAAAAAAATAGTAGTTAGTAAAAGTTGATTGATTGAGATGAACAAATCCACAAGGGCCGTGACGAGGATTCGAACCTGCGTCCGGGAGCATCCCAGACACTGCCTTAATCGACTGAGCTACGACAGGGTAAAAGCACAAACCAGGCTTTTACACAACCCCGGACGCAGGTTCGAACCCTCGTCACGGCCCTTGTGGATTTGTTCATTTGATGCATCACGTTAGTGTGATCTCTGTGTGTGTTGATTGATTGAGAGTTGAGAGGCGGGCCGAAAGAGCAGAGCTCAACCCCTGCAAGCACAAATAGGTGAGTACAGACCCAAGCAACCCACCTAGCGTATCTAGACCAATTTTATGGCGCGTTAAGGTCAATTCGTTACAGATACGGCGTATTAGTTAAAATGAAAGCATTGCGTGTGTGTGTATATATATACCTAAGTGTAATTACAGGATGAGAGCTACGCTCGTGGTGTCCCGTCTTCCCAGCACTCTTTGTCATATAACGCTTTGAAACCACTGACGGTTTTGGCCTCCACCACCTTCTCACTTAACTTGTTCCAACCGTCTACCACTCTACAAAAGAAATTTTTCTAACATTTTTTTGGCACTTTTGTTTCCTTAGCTTGTATCTATGACCTACTGTGCTTATATTTGAAGGTTTTAAAAATTAATCTTTGTAAATTTTGTCGTTATATACCTGTTACCATTTTGTATGTTGTGATTATATGACATCTTTTACTTCCATCTTCTAGCTTGAGCATATTTAACACCTCTAGCCTCTCCTATCTTGAGGTTATCTTGAGATGATTTCGGGGCTTTAGTGCCCCCGCGGCCCGGTCCTCGACCAGGCCTCCACCCCCAGGAAGCAGCCCGTGACAGCTGGCTAACACCCAGGTACCTATTTTACTGCTAGGTAACAGGGGCATAGGGTGAAAGAAACCATGCCCATTGTTTCTCTCCGGCGCCCGGGATCGAACCCGGGACCACAGGATCACAAGCCCAGCGTGCTGTCCGCTCGGCCGACTGGCTCCTCACAGATCTTATTTTCCAGTTCCGGAAGCCATTTAGTTGCATGTTGTTGCTTCTTTTCCGATTTAGTGATGTGCAAGTGAGGTGCATATCCCGCCCGGCAAGGGGGGGGGGATATCCCCCCCCACTGCCAGCTAGGGAGGGTGTGCTCCTTAAGACATGGGTGCCACACCACCGCTGCATATTCCAATTTGGGTCTCAAACAAGTCGTGAGCAGTTTCTCTAATATTTACCAATCCATGTATTTAAAAGCGATTCAGAAAATGTACAGTGCAAAATGTCCTTTATGTTGTCCTCTGATGACCGACCACTATTCAGAACCATCCCTAAGTCTCTCTTTGTTCTTCAATACCTTTCCACAAAATCTGTCGTTCGAGTGTGGCTTTTCCCTCGTATTCCACATTTTATAATATAGCATTTATACACATTAAATTCCGCTTGCCATGTTGTCCCATGTGCTTATTTTGTACAGATCTTCTTGAAGGGGGGGATGGTACTCGTTTAAGTTTGTTATCTTCTTTAGCATCATCAGCAAACGTGTTCATGTAGTTCTGTATTATTTCTTCTGGTAGATCATTTATTTAGACGCTGAACATTACTGGTGCAAGAAGTGAACATTACTGGTGCAAGAAGTGAACATTACTGGTGCAAGAAGTGAACATTACTGGTGCAAGAACTGAACATTACTGGTGCAAGAACTGAACATTACTGGTGCAAGAAGTGAACATTACTGGTGCAAGAAGTGGTGAACATTACTGGTGCAAGAACCCTGTGGCACTCCGCTAGTAACACTCCTCCAGTCAGATACATTCTCTCTGATTACCGCCCTCATCTGTCTGTCAGAAATTTTTAAATCAATGTCAGCATTCTCCTTGTCATCCCTCCAGCATGTTCCAGTTTCCGGAACAACCTCTTGTGTGGGACTCTTTCAAAAGCCATTTTCAAGTCCAGATAAACACAGTCAATGCAGCCATCTTTTTCCAGTAGAATCTCCGTGGCTCTATTATAAAAACCCAGCAAAGTTGTTACATAAGATCTTCCTGTTCGAAAGTCATGCAGTTATTACGTCATTATTCTCCAGGGGCCAGATTCACGAAGCAGTTACGCAAACACCTACGAAACTGAACATCTTTTCTCAATCTTTGGCGGCTTTGTTTACAATTATTAAACAGTTCATGAGCTCCGAAGCACCAGGAGGCTGTTTATAACAATAACAACAGTTGATTGGCAAGTTTTCATGCTTGTAAACTGTTTAATAAATGTAACCAAAGCCGTCAAAGATTGAGGAAAGATGTACACGTTCGTAAGTGTTTGCGTAAGTTCTTTCGTGAATCTGGCCCCAGGCCTTCTACCCATTTGCTTTGAATTATTTTTCCAGTGTTGACTACCACACTTGTCAACGATACAGGTCTATCATCTGCAGGGCCTTCTCTGTTACCAGCTCAACCACTTGGGCTGGACGGTAGAGCGACGGTTTCGCTTCCTGCAGGTCAGCGTTCAATTCCCGACCGTCCAAGTGGTTGGGCACCACTCGTTCCCCCCCCCCCCCCCCGTCCCTTCCCAAAATCCTTATCCTGACCCCTTCCCAGTGCTATATAGTCGTAATGACTTGACGCTTTCCCTCTGATAGTTCCCTTCCCTTCTCTGTTACCATTTTTTTTTATATTGGATATATGTTTGCCTTTCTCCATATATCTGCAAATACACCTATACACGAAGATATCTGAAATACTAATTGCAATGGAATGCTCAGCTCAGCTCAGGTGCACATTCTTGCAGAACCCAAGGTGAAACTCCTATTGGGCCAACTGCTTTCTTTCTTCCTAGCTCCGTAAGTAATTTTCCCACACCGTCATGAGGCAGCTATAAGTACTCTGTGGTCTCTGAAAACTCACATTGTGTCTGGTTCCCTGAAAACCTCATTTTGCACAAATACACTTTCGAACTGTTCATTTAGTGTTC